TGTAATCTGTTTATCGGTATTACACAGTTTATAATACACCGTATTTTTACCCAACAATTTTTAGTACCTTCATGCAGGTCGTTTTAAATATTGATCCCACCTCCCAAACTCAATGGTTTTCATTTCATTTACGACTTGTCCTAATCATGTTAAAATCTTTAGTTATTAATATTGGTTAAAACAACTCGAACATAATTTGGTGGCGAAGACATCTCTACTTTTTTTTTCTTTATTAAGAATCATAGGCTTGAATCTCCTAATTGGAAATGTTCCTATTTCACGCGGGCAGGAAATTTCCGTTTAGGTTTCTTGTGGATGGGGAAATTTTTTTGCGTGCCTAAATGAAGACAAAGACAGTAATATGTTCCTATCCCAAGAAAGTCTTCCCCCATGTGAACACCTCTGCTCCTAACTCTGCGGTTTGTGATGTAATATTCTAAAAGAAATACTTCCACTTTGAACTTTTAGGATTGTGTCTATTTTAATTCTCTATTTTGAAAAGTTTTTTTTATAGATCCACGGACCTTCAATATTGTATTTATCTGCTCCCTATATTTTAAAAAGTTTATAACGAATCTTGAACTTTCAGGATTGTGTCTATTTTAATTCCATATTTTGATTTTTTTTAATAAATTCATAAACTTTCAATATTGCGTTTATTTGGTCCCTAGATTTTAAAAAGTTTATAATAAGTCTCTCGATTTTTAATTTTTTGTCGTTGTTAATTTTGTTAGTTTGATGGTTCTGTTGCACTGTAACAATATTTCTTTTAGGATTACATGATAAAGTAATATATCGAGCAATCTTACTTATTTGTGGTATAAGCATTAAACTAAGGGACTTAACGATGAAGACACGTTCGACATTAAAAATTCAAGATTTATTAGAATATTTTGAAATTATAGAGGCTAAATTTGAATGCAACTTAAAAATGAATATATTAATAAACTTTTTAAAATATTGGGAGAAAATAAACAAACTTTAAAAGTTCTGAGTCTGACTTATACTTTAACATTCTTTTAATTCTCAATAATCTACTTTTCTCCCTTTAGATCAAAGTTTTCTAAATTAACTCAAGAGAATGAATTGATGGCAATCCACGGAAATAAAAATGGAAGTTAAATTATAAATTGCATAGCTATTAGTTAGATGTTGGAGCATAACATTTGTTGATTAGCCCAGTCTCGATTTTTCATGTTTGGTTTGATCAACATTTTAGGTCTATTTAGGTTGGTTTTTGATTCCGATCTCTAGTGTCGATAGTTCAAGCAATACCTGCACATGGTGTAATGCTAAGAATAATACACTCTGATGCTTAAATTAGCAAAAAGTTTCAGTGAGAGAGACAAAAAAAATCGGGTTATGAAGCTCATGCCCCAAGTCTCTTCTCTTATTTAGACAGTCTCATTGGGTCGGTTCGCATGAAGACGACCCAATCAAGTTTGGTTGCATCGAGTTGACCTGATTGGATGGTTTGATCCATATGGTTCAACCATGGTTGTTTTTCTAACTTCAATTCACGAGAACTTATGGAGTAATTCCATAAGATTTATGAATTTAAGAAAAGTAAAATGTTTGATGGGAAAAACAATTTTTTTAAAAAATCCAAATCAACAGTCAAACTTAAAATAAACTCGAGCCACAAAACCAAATCACTTAAATAGACATCATCCCAACAAATAAACCCAACGGACTATTTTTCAATTTTATACTAAAAAATTGATCAAACTCAACTCAATGACCCCAAACTCAATTGGGTTGCATTGGCTTTAAATAAATGAAAACTTTTGAATTGGTTCAATAATTCACCCAAAATAAGTTTCATTTGAACTAAACTAACTTGAACTTATTATTAATTATAAAGTAATTTCTTTTTCTTATCGTAGAATTATATATAGATATATTTATTTTAACTTTATTTCATTCCATAATTCTTTATAGATTATTTATTATCCAACAACTTAAAACAAATTCCAGGTTTAAAAATACATAAATAAATATTTAAGGTAATATCATTTACTCTTTTTTTTTTAATAACGAGTGCTAAACTAATCCAACCCAAATATTTCATGATTGGGTTAAGTTGTGTTTATTATTTAATAAAAACTATTTGGATGTAATAAATTTACCACTTGAACAATTAACCGAGCCTAAAAGGTACTTCAATTCAACTTATGAATACTTCTAAATCAAATCGGTCAGTTCGATTGGATGTATTCAATTGACATTTTCAACTTTAGAAATTTAGAACGAGGGAAAAGAATAGTATCACTATCCAGATATGGCCAATTAGATAAAGTCATTGCCACCAAAGACAATGAAAAACATCAAATCCAATTTGCGAAGGTTGTTAATTAGTTATAAACTTGTTACTCAAAAAAATATAAATGCCAATGTTGCTTAATTGTCCCTTCCGGGGAGCAGAGCCGTGCACGGCGCTTTACTCTTAGTCGTACGCCACTTCCCTCTTCGTTTATGCGACGGCTTTTAACAACTCGTACAAATAAAATTAAGTTTATAGATTCGTTTGGTAATACGTTTTCGTTTTTTATTTTTTATCTTTTTAAAAGTTAAATATTTAACGATTATTTATGTTTTTTTATTGTTAAAAAATAAAATTGGGGACTTATTTAATAATAATTATCTTATTTCTTATTTATCGTTTTCAATTTTATTAAGCTATATAAACATTTAGTAATTATTTATATTTCTTGTTTCTCGTTTTTTATAAGCATTCTCAAAACTGTGGAAATAATAAAAACAAGTTATTTATTTATTATTATCATTTCCAATTTATTTCAAAACATAAAGTGAAAAATATTGTTTTGTCATTCTTGAATCCGTGAGTATTGGACCATGTAATTATATTTTCTTTATTAAAAATGAGGAAACAGATTTTTGAATATTTAATTCAAAAAATAAAATGGTCAACATGAGCATAGTCCAACGAGTGACACCTATGTCCAACTAAAAGGTCGTGAGTTCGAATCCTCGCTTTCAATCATATACATATTTTACTTATAGAAAACGAGACACAAAAATGGTTACCAAATCTGTTGTTTCTTTCTCAATAAGAGAACAAAATAACAAGTAACAATAAACAACTATCTAAATTTATTAAAAAAATAAAATCAACTTCCATTTTTATTTATTAAAAAAAATAAAAGAAAAACAAAAAATAGAAATGTTACCCGACATATCTAAATTTTTCATTGAAGATGAAGTAAAGATAAAATCGACGAACTTGGATTTAATTAAAAAACGAAACCTTTATTTACAATAAACTAATTAGAATTATGAACTTTAATTTAGTTAAAAAAAATAAATAAACATTTATTTAGAATAAACTAATTAGGGTTATATCTTTGTGAAATATATCACACTCACTAAATAGAAGACAACAAAAACCAAATAAAATTATAAACTCGTTGCCATGTAAATGAGAGAGCTGTCACATATTTAACTTAGTACTGACTTGTAAGAATGTGGATGATTTGTGATTTTTAAAACATTATAAAAACCAAATTGGAATTAATAAAAACCATATAAATTAAATTGGTAGTTTGACCTATAATTTTAATATATTTTTTTGATATTTAATTAATATTATTTTGAAGATGGTTAAAAATATGTTAAATTACAAGTCTAGTCACTTAACTGAGGTTAGTTGTGTCTAATATTCATTAATCTTTAAAAATTGTCAAAAAAAGTTTTTAAATTTTCAATTTTGCATATAATATATATTTGACATTTTATAAAATTTATGAATTTATTAGACACAATATTGAATTTTGTGTCTAATAGAATAATGACCTTTAAATATTGTGTCTAATAGATCAATAAATTTTAAAGTATACTTTAAATAAGTCACGGATGTATTATATATAAAATTTAGGATGTATTAACCCTCACTCCAAAAATTCATAAGACTTATAATTAAAAAGAAATTAAAGTAATAATATTTTTTCTCACACAAAATTCCAATTTTGGAACAGGCATTTGCGAACCATAATTCATTGAATCGAGGAAGAAAGACAAGAACGATTATTTTCATGGAGAGACCCACTTGCCATCTCTAATTGGTCTATTTTAAGTATGTTTTAAGACTTGAAAAAAAAGACTTAACAAAATAAAATAAATATTACCACTTCCAACGGAAATGCCAAAAATGAAAAAGAAAAAGACGCATTTAAATGGTAAAAAATAAAATCAGGTTAAAAGTATTATTTATTTGGTTGTTGTACTCTTAACAAGTGAATCATTTTAATTTTTGTTTGAGAAATTTGAACACGGATGAAATTYTTTAATAATAACTGCATTTCAAAAAATATATTGAATGTAGTGTAAAGCACCATAGAAAAAAGTGAGAATCACCTCGCTTTCYATTTATTATGTTTGTTAAATTAAAAAAATTGATTTTAAGAAAATTTAGGTTGTGTTTGGGAGTGATGATACAAATAGTGATTTTGAAAAAAAAGATTTAAAAATAATTGATTTTTTAAAATCACCTGATAYSTTAAAAATCAATTTTAAGTGATTTTKACAATGACAAAAATGATTTTGASATGCCAAAATCACTCCAAACACACCCMAAAATAACTTTTATCACTTGTATTATGATGAAAAATCAAATTATACTTAAATATTTTTTTTCCAAATTCACTAATCCTATTATCACTCCCGACTATGATAATTATTTTTTAAAGTATCAAAACCAACGTTTTAAAAGTAAATGAATTAAAATAGATAAAAATTAAAAAWTTTATGACCAAAATAGATATTTAAGCTAATTGGAGGGTTTTGTCAATACGTTCCATCCAACTTCTCCTACATTTTCATTAAGAAAAATGACACATCATCCATCTGTCACGGAAGATTAATAATATGAATTAAAATTACTTTTTAAAAGCAGAACAAGACAAATGAACTAATGAAAAAAAGAAAAGAAAAAAAACCAACAAAGAACAAAAGAGCATTTTAACCAAAAATAGTATCCTAATCAAAATAAAAAAGCCGAAAGGAAAAAAAAAAACTAATAATTTGGCAAGGCCTCTCTCAGGGTGCAAGTTCAGGTCCCGCAGAGTCGCTGTTCAGCGATTGGGAGAAGAAGAAAGAGCGAGGAAAACTCCTTCTGCATTCCTTAAAGCTTCGAATCTCCGCCATTTTCTTCTCATTCTGGAGTAGGAACCAGTATAGAAAATGGATTCCGTCTTCGTTAGAGCCCACCGAAGTTATATTACTCTCGCCACTGGTATGCCATTTTTTTTCCCTTCTAATCCAAGTGGTTTGAGACTGTTTCCGTTCATTTCAGCCTTAGATTTCTTCTCATGTGTTGAGAATCTTGTTTAGAATGGCGCATTTTCTTCTGGTTCGACTCTATTTTTTCGATGCTTTGATATTCCCTTTTCACTTGAGGAAAAGCCGGACGGTGTTATTTGTTAACCTGCACTACCGATCTCGATTGAAGCTAATTGCGATTCCTTGTTTTCGTTTGATTTACTGTCGATAGGCGGGAGTGGAAACGGCTGGACGAATCGTGACATCAACAATGCTTGGCTTCCAAGTATGACTAATTCGTCTTAGAATCCGTATTTTCTTTGCTCAATCGATTTTGTTTCTTGTTTTCTCTGTTATCTTTTAGTCCGTCAATGGCGCGTTCCTTGTCATTTTTGCTCGATTTTTAGAATTGCATGTTCGGTAGCGCAATTGAAAAGACTTAATCGCTGATTGTGTGAGTTGGAAGAGTTTAACTCGCGGAAGAAATTCTCCCGGCGGCGGGCACCCATAAGAGCTCGAAGGGGGTGTTTTAGAGTTGAATTTTATTTTTATTTTTAAAATTAAATTATAATTTTTCTTTTTTGTAAAAGGAAAATTAAATAGTATTTTCAATTGTATTGGAACCTCAATTTTTACTAGCCATTTAGTCGGAATTTTATAAGATTAATTTTTAAAGTATTATATAAAATTCAATTTAATTTAAAATTGAATTCTATAAAATTTCGATTTTACTTTTCAAAATTAAAAAATAATTTTTTTGTAGGAGCTCCAATTTTTACCAGCCACGGGGTCGGAATTTTAAAAATTTTATTTTAAAAAGTATTATATAAAATTTATCTGTGAATTGAACTTTTGGAAAGTTGCATCCTACTCCCATCAAACTCATTTTTAAACTGATTTCTAAAATTTGAAATCTGAAAATTATCCCTTCTGAAAAAAAAAATAAATAAATAAAGAGAAGAATAAAACCTAGTTTTGGACTTTGTTTATGCAATTGAGATTACTTTTGTGCAAAAGATGATAAAACCTATGGTTGGTGAATAAATTTTTGTTAATTGAGTAAACTTTCAGTAATATATAGTAAATATAAATTGTTAGGTCTCCCTTTCAAGAATGATGATTCGTCTTTTTATGATTTTAGTGGTAGTATAATATTTTTTTGGGTATAACGTCATAAATCATAAAGTACGAGATGAATATTCAACCTACGACCTCTTAAAGGGAGGAGAAATACCTTCATGACTAAGTTATGATTAGATTGGCTAATATAACTAAATTTTATTCTATAGTGCAATAATAATATTTAAAATCAGTGTTTGAAACTGAAATTTTAAGCTTAACTTAAAATATTGAAAGTAAGAATCAATGTTTTAAATTCACGATTATATGTTTTTCAATAAGATAATAGCTGTCAATATTATTGGATATCATTGAAAATTAAAGAAAATTTATGATAATSATGTAAAAACAGAAATATTTATCAATTATCAGTATTATCTTAGAGCTGTGTAGCCTCAATGAACTCTTTCTCGYTAAGATTTAGTTGTATAGCTTCTCCTTTTCTCCTTTTTTCTTTTAGTTAGTTTTATTGTGTTGTTATGTACATTTTTTTGGTCAAGATTGAAGGTTTTTCTTATAACTTCTGTCTTCTGTTGAAGTTGTCTTACTACTAACCATTTTCTCTTACATATTTGTTTATTAAAATACGAATTTGTATTTAATGAGAAGGAAATATCCCAAAATGTCTCGATAACAGCATGAACAAGTGAAGATTATGGATGTCTTTGAATAGTAAATTTCTATGTTGGAACCTCCAAATATCGGAGAACGGTGCTCTCGAACTACCAAATGTAATATAGGTACGACTGACACAAGTAAGGCACGTAGTAGTATATGTGTGCATGTTGGGCCATTGACAAGAGTGCTTGCATGCAAGTTTTTGGCCTTTTGTCATTGACTGGTAGCGCGTGGCTTGCCATGCTGTAATTGTGTGTCAAGTTCCTCACTAAAAAAGAAACTCGAGAATAGTGGAGAAAGTGAGAAAAAGTTGAAAAGAAAAAGATTATTTTATATACGTATGCGTATTTGTTTGTCTTTACGCATTGCGTGTACCTTCAATGACGCCACGATTCCTTTCAACTCTTTTATGAACTCGGAATGTTCACCATCATTGACAGCTCATTGCTTGAATATTCTTTTGGTCAAGTGGAATGTTTTCTTTTTGTAATTCCCTTGACATGGGTTCTCCCCTTTTTTGTATTTGTTTCCTCTAAAAAGTATATATATATACGCGTGTATTGCGTGTGTATGTGTCATAAAAGTGGGAAGGTTTGGTGGGATCAATTATACGGAAATATCTTCATATTCTTCACGTTTATAGAGYGGATTTTAGAAATATTGAGAGCAGAGACCTTCAGTATCTGCAAACCGATTCTTCCAGTACAGAATCTGAGATATTGTTATCTCATACTTTACATGTAAAACACTCTCCAAATAAGCTTATTTCCTTCACACTTAACGCCCATAAGGCTTAGGCTATGTTTCACGCCAAAGGATTAGATCAAGAATGGATATTCTCCTCTCTTTTCCAGACGTTGACTTAACATCTGCATGAATCATTTTGATTTAGGAAAGTTTTAGTACATCTTCTTTGCCTCCTCTAAACACCAAATGGGCTGCCTTTTAATTGCATATGGAAAATGCAACGTTCTCAYGTTCTATTATTTTTTAATTTTTTTTAGTACAACATGTAGGKAGCGATGGATCGAACTCACAACCTTTTAGTTGGAGATATATGCCAATTACTGAACTAGGCTCGCTTTGACCTCATGTTATGTTATTACTCTCTTTGAAATGCTTTTCCTCTCTTACCGCTAGTRAGATTAACATATATGACAGATTTGATGTTGGAGTTTGAGTTTAACGATGAAAAATMTTCTTATGAGAGCCGAATTTTGTGCATGTTTTCCATTATCGTTGAAATCTAAATCCGACGTGGGGGTTCACGATATCCTTTGTTATCTCGGAGACGATTGAGATCAACAAAGGCACCAGTACAAAACCATGTTAAGTGCAAGGTTGAATTTTGCATTTATCCTTCAATTGAATCTGGCTTGTTCGTTGGTAGCCCAAACGCTTCAGATTTGCTTGCGTTGGTCATAAAGACGATCTTTACCTGACTTCAAGGAGCCTCTCTTCTGCAAGGTCTTGTAGAAAGTGTTGATCTCAAAAAATKCTTAGTGCTTATATGGCCTTTAAAGTTTGAGAGACATTAACACAAACGATAAAATTTAGAAAATGAATCCTCTTTGCTGTCCAAGTCCTAATTGGTTCTATGTGTGCAAGAACAGTTTAAAGGACCTTGATCACATCTATCTCTCTCGTGTTTATTCAGATGGTTTTCCTGGAGGAAGTTACTTGGGTTGTTCAAACCGTGTTGCTGCCTAAAGTCTGAAAAAAAATTTGTTCCTAGGTTTTTCTGCCTATAACTTTTAAGGACCATCAAATCTTGCTGCACGACTGGCGGTTGAATAGAAGGATATTTAATGATCATAAAAGAAGCACCGAAGAGGTGTGAGAAGTTGTTTGTTAGTTTTGTCTTCTTGGGGTCCAAACTTTTTCTAGTTGCTTTTTGAAGAACTGGAGACCTTTCTTTTGTAAATTTCATATATTGATAAAATTGTTTCCATCTCATAGTATTGGGATATACATTTACGGCTTCAGAAAGGAAGGTTGGTTTTTTGTTTGTTTGTTTGTCTTTTTTTTTTTTTTTTGAAATTTGTAATTATGGCTCTTCTGTTGTTTTCTGATTTGAAAACGTAAAACATTAAAGTGAAGTATGAAGATGCTTAGATTGCTTATGCTTGCTCATCAATTTTGAAGGTCTGAGGCTTGGAGCATTAAAGATTCCAAAAACACAATGTAGTACGGAATCTGAATCACATCATCTCCAATGTGTCTTTAGAAGAAATCAGGGAAGATATACTTTATATCAGAAGAAAGACAATAGAATTCAAGTCAGAAAAGCAGCCTCTAATCAGCCTTTTGAATCCGAATCTGGAGTTTTAAGTCCCAAAAATTATAGTGACTCTGTAAAGGGTTTCTTGGATGCTTTCTACAGGTTTTCACGGCCACACACAGTCATTGGTACAGTTACGTTTTATAACTCATGTCCTTTTAAGTCAATAACTTAATTCTTCCATTTCATTCTTTCTGGGATATGTATCTTTAGCTTACGCTTTCCTTCCATGCACAGGCATTGAGCATTGTATCTGTTTCTCTACTAGCAGTTGAGAAACTATCAGACTTGTCACCCTTATTTTTAACCGGAGTGTTGGAGGTGATGTTTCAAACAAAATGTATAATTTGAATTCTTTTTTTTTTTTGTAAGGTATAATTCGGATTCTTTAGTGCATTTGTAAATATTTAACACATTTGCAAATCCTTTTCCAGGCTATAGTTGCTGCCCTCTTTATGAATATTTACATTGTGGGTCTGAATCAATTATATGACATCGAAATAGACAAGGTACTTCTATGTATTTATCCTATAAGAGCATATTAAATTAGGTCTGAAAAGCTTCACAACTTCTAGCTTTTGAAACTTAAGAGAGTATCCTATATATCAGCAAGCAAAATAAGATATCATATGATCTGACCTTCGGGGGATAACGTTTGAATAACAATAAAAGTGAAGCCTGACATATTGTTCTGTTCCTAATAGGCATCAAAGAAGACTTCAACTTAATTATCCTTACGTGTTTCCATTGCAGATTAACAAGCCATATCTTCCATTGGCATCGGGAGAATATTCTTTTGCAACTGGCGTTGCAATTGTTTCCACGTTTTCTATTATGGTATTACCTATTATCTATCACATCATTTACAAAACCCTCAGTTGAATTTTTATTTTACATTGGATTTCATTTGAACCACTTCAATCGTTATATAATATTTCTTTCAGATAAGAACATCATAAGCTTTCAGTTGAATTTTTGGAAGCTACTCTCTCTCATCAATGCCAACTAAGGAGCTTTCATTTTCCCCTCTTAATTGTTATTTTCTTTGACTTCAGCTTTGGTTTTGTTTTTCTTTGTTTTGTTGTCGTTTTTGTTTCCTTCACTCTTTCAAAACAATTTTTGTTCCTCTTAATTTATCAATGAAAAGTTATTTATCTTGTTTTAAAAAAAAAANTATTATGACTTTTTAAATATCTCCTAAAATTCGCATATCAATCAGTTAATTCACTTTTACCATTTGATTTTGAGAAAGAAATACACTTTTCCCGTTTATCTTGTTTTAAAAAAAAAAAGCTTTTAGTATGTTTCAAAAAAAAAAGGCTTTTAGTAAATATACTTCTTATTGTTATTTCCTTTGTGTATCTGAACTTCAATTAATTGGTGCCAAGATTCCTTTCTGGAACTATATTACTTTCCCAATGCTTTTCTACAGAGCTTTTGGCTAGGATGGGTTGTTCGTTCATGGCCATTGTTTTGGGCTCTTTTTGTCAGCTTTGTTCTTGGAACGGCTTATTCCATTGATGTGAGTGGGCTCCTTTATCTTATCATTTATTTCCAGCTTCTTGTCTACCATAAAGCCTAACCAAGCATGTTTTCCCTGTTGAAACTGGCTAATAGTATCTACACGCTAAAATTTTGATCTGATATATCATCATATGTAATGCAATCTTGCACAAGGTTTTAGGATGAATGTAATCTGATCTTATTAATAAGGAGTAGAAACCTATTTATAGAGGTTTCTGAAATAACAAACTAACAGTAACTTCAAGTTACTGTGCAGTAAAAGGAAAAATACAAATGATCATAACCTACCAGCCACGTTTACAACCTTATAACTCAAACAAAGACATCTATGACTACATCAATATGGCTCATAAAAGAAGTTTAACCTGGAATATAAGTGAAACAAACTTCATTTAATATCTGTGTCATCTCGTCTTCTCAAATATCTATGTCACAGTTGGCCGATTCTTGGTTAGTTGATCTTCATAAACTAATCTTCACATGCAGGTATAAGTCTGGTCGCATTGTGTTAAGCTGATATTTGAAAGAAAATTTTGTTGTTCCCTGAACCTTTTATTGGAGTGTTGAAACTAATTTGTCCCAATAATATTATTGTCCAGGGTCCAAATGGGTAATCAATTTTAACATTCTTTTCCTCTTAATGACCRCAGCTTCCTTTCTCTCTCTTTAACCCAATAGAGTTGCTAGATAGGAGTTAGATCTGAAAAACTAACAAAACACATGAGTAATTTCTGAGGTATAGATTTTGAAAATTTATATGACCAAATCAACTATCAATGAAGAATCTTTTACTGTTGTTTACCAGTGACTCAGAGGACAAAACAAAGTGGTTTTTTGAAAGAAAAATTGATTTTGATGAGCTTGATGGTCTTTAAATTTTCTGTTATTTCAGCTGCCACTATTGAGATGGAAGAGATTTGCTGTGGTAGCTGCTATGTGCATTTTAGCTGTTCGGGCCGTCATTGTTCAAATTGCTTTTTTTCTGCACATGCAGGTATAAGAGTATCTCTTATTTTGAATAAACAATGAATGAAACGATCCATGCTCCACCCATGTTGTGACTTGTTAAAAGTGCCTTTTAAATGTTTATTGCTATATGCTATTTTATGAGACTTGTCAATAAGGATGTATGTTGATATCATGCTCATAGGCCTTTACACGTTAACTGTTATCGATTGTTCTTGGAAACTAGATCACGGATGAGAGTATAGACTTGGATGATGACCAAGATACAACATGAAACCATTCATGGGATATGTAATTATCCAAAAAGTAGGCTTGGACATGTCGAGTTTCCGAAGGGACAAAAATTTAAATGTGCATAGATAACTAGATATATAAATTAAGACGGACATGGTGAGGACCCAAAAATCACGTTGAACCAATAGAAGCTGGTGGGACAAAGATTAGATAATATTTGAACGTGTAGAAATAGATTGATGGCAGATTACGCATACAAAATTAAGTTTAATGAACAAAAGCACACATTGGAAAGGCTTAGATAAATTGAACATTAAGTTTAGCAAAGATGACTTATGTCAGAAATATGTCGAAAAGCCACGTTATCTAGATTTCGACTAGATAGAATTAGATGTGTACGCTGCAGACTAACATTAGACAGGATTTGAAATCTATATTGTAGGCTGATGTTAGATTTGGATTAGATAGGGTTTAACATGAATATCGCTGGCCAATGTTGGATTGATAGGGTTTGGAAATATATATTCTAGATCTTTGTTAGGTTAAGAATCAGATTGGATAGGATTTCAACATGTAAATTTCAGTTTATCATTGAAAAGAAGTTCAGTGCACGGTAGCTCTGTTCAATTTATAGATTAGATTAAATAGAATTCAAACGTGTCTATAGCAATTTATTCATATTAAAGATAAGGGAAAAAATTCATTTTCACTCGTACTTGGTGAGTGATTCAAATTTTACCTTTGCCTTCGAACAATAGTGAAATTAATACCTTCCTCGAACCCAAACTAGAAAATTATTGAAAAATCAGCCAAGAAATTTTTTGAAATTCAACCAGCAAAAACACCCAAAAGCAGCTACAAAAGTACATAAATTAAGCCACAAAAATACCTATATCCTACACCACATCAGAGAAAAAAAAAAGCCTAAAGTAGCACCAAAATGTGAAACTTTATAAAGATAAACACTCAACACAGTTATAAAAGCCAACATCCATAATAGTAATCTTGCTCGGCCACAAAATCTCACACTTTAGCCTAAATTTCCAAAAGTAGCATTCTTTAATTTCAAGGTTCAATTTTATGAAATTTTGTTTGGAAGGTAAAATTTGAGTCTCTCAATTAAGCATACGGATAAAAAGAAAAATTTCCCTAAAAATAATAAGTTCAACAATCTGAACCTGTGGTCTCACTCAAATATTAATGATTTCTGTTTAGGTATTCATGATCTCTCTCTCTCTCTCTCTCTACCTGTTGGTTATTCAGTAAAAACTTTAGAAGTAAATCATAAAGAATCCAGCWAACTAGATTTCAATGACGTGGTCAAAGTATTTGGTATCCATTATGTGCTGGACAGATGGGGTACCCAAACTAAATTCTTTGTGCTTGATAGCTGTCGAGTGATAGTTTGAGGTAGGGTAATAATCATCGTGAAAAGAGGAATGAGAATGGAAATGTATGTTCTGTATATATATATATGTGTGCGTGTGTGTGTRTATATATATATATATTTATAAGAAACAATTTTTTTGATGGTCTGAAATTATGAAAGGGGAAGATACCTATCTAAGGGAGTTACAAAATAAGTCTCCAATTAGATAATARATTAGAATAGCTGTAACGATGAAGAGGGGTGCATCTATACTATGATATAACTAATAAGACTATATATATTATTGAAAAAATTAGTATGTTCTCTAAATATTAGTAAGTTTTACACATTACTACATTAGCATTGGTGTTAAAAATTGTTTCTAAATTAATCTTCTTTGTTTGGTACACTTATATGTTTGAGGATGACTAATATGTTTCAATGTTTACAGACTCACGTGTTCCAAAGACCTCCTGTGTTTTCACGTCCCCTGATATTTGCAACTGCATTTATGAGTTTCTTCTCAGTTGTTATAGCGTTATTTAAGGTAACAATTAGYTTTCCACTTAAAAATGGTGGAAATAACTTGAAGTGACTTTCAAAAGTTCGTTTCTCATATTTAGTGTAATAATATTAACTTTTACACTACTCTTGCTTAATTGTTCTTGTAACTTGCTATTTACTTGAATTTGCTAGGATATACCTGATATTGATGGAGATAAAATCTTTGGCATCCGTTCTTTTACAGTACGTCTAGGACAAGAACGGGTTCGTGTTTAAGTAATTCAATTTTTTTTATGTAAAAAATCTTCCATATTGGAATGTAGTGTTAGTCATATATCCTAGTGTGAGGATTTCACTTTTGCAGGTGTTTTGGAGTTGTATTTCGTTACTTGAAGTAGCATATGGTGTTGCCGTTTTAGTGGGAGTTGCATCTCCCTCATTGTGGAGCAAGTGTCTAACAGTAAATCTCTGGTTTCTTTATCCTTGAAACGCATTCACTGACTGCATTAATTTTATTTCCTTGAATGTATTAAGTACCTAGAGAACTAAGTCTTCTTGGGAATTGAATTTAAAAACATTTTTTTGTTTTTTAAAAAGAGAAAAAAAACTGGAAACATGTTTGGGTCATTACTTTTTAGTATTGTTTACTTTTGGTACGTTTTTACAGTGTTACGAGTAACTTTTTTTTTTCTTTTTTTTTTGAATAAACGAAGTTATTTTTTCTTTTCTTTTTTAAAAAATTTTGAGTTTGTGAACAATTATTTTTAGTTCGTAGAAACCTCACATTTACTAAGTTTTTTTTCTCTCTCTCTCTCTCTTTTGTGATTACTATTATCCTAGTTCAATATAAAATAGTTCTTTAAACACGTCTGCAAGATAAGATGCCAAACGATCATTATATTTCTGCTATATTTAATTTGATATACCTATAACTGGAAAATGAAAATAAAACAGCTATTAGCAAGTACAAACATTGCAAGTGTTAATTTGATGCTTTGTAATTTTTAAAAAAGATACAAACTTTTCACTGATATGAAAAGTTACTCCAAAGTAAAAACTCCCTTATGGAGCAAACAGCTATTAGTAAGTACAAACATTGCAGGTACTAGTTTGATGCTTTGTAATTTTTATAAAAGATACAAACTTTTCACTGATATGAAAAGTTACTCCAAAGTAAAAACTCCCTGCTGGAGTATCCAAGTATCCTTCCTATCTGAAAAATACAAGAAATCCTGAAAAAGAAAGTAATAACAAACCCTTATTGCAAAATTGTAAGAAAGCAATACAACTAGAAATGATCATACTTGCTTAGTAATTAATAAAATCCTTAGCAGTAGGACATCAAATAGCCGTTTGAATTCTTTCCTCCCAGCAAAGAATTCATCTTATTAACTGATACAATCATCAAATGAGTATTTTATATTATTTTTATATTATAAGAAGCACATTTTATTGAAAGAATGAAATATATATACAGGCGAACACCATACACCGTTATTAAAACCCTCCCCAAGGGAAGGGATCAAAGAGGGCCTTTTGAAAGTTTTTTGGGAATTTTACGAGGAATAAACCTATGTTTGTCTAATCCTGAAAAACGAAAATGCAAACCAGGTTAAAGACTATAGGCTGATTAGTCTTGTCACGAGCTTATATAAGATTATTGCTAAAACCCTAGCTGATAGGTTGAGAAAGGTCCCTCCCAACATCCTTACTGAGACCCAAGGAGCATTTATTATTGGGAGACAAATCTTGGATCTGGTTCTTATTGCTATTACTGAGGCAATTTATTATTATAGGAAGAGGAACCAGGAAGCTGTTTGATAGTATAAACATAATAGCAGTAACCTTTTATTGATAATTGTGGAAAACAGACTTTCGTGAGGTCTGAAGTCTCTCCCACATTTCCAAACAAATTACATAAGCCCTCATTCTCTCCCACATGGTTACTAAATACAAACATATATAACTGAATAACTTTCTATTATGGATAAGARCTAATATAACCCCTATCTCTCATATAACTAACTGAGAGATAACTTCCTCTTACAGAAATTAACATAAAATAACATAGGAATGCATAGTAATGCTTACTTATAACTTTTACTGATCCCTCAAAACATCCTTTCCTTTGTTGGTATTGTGCCTAGCATATATGTGATGTATAAGTGGCCTATCAATGTTATTTTCAAGATTTGTTTTGAGAAAGCTTATGACCATGGAGATTGAGATTTCTTGGACAAGGTTTTATGGCAGAAAGAAGAGCTTGTTYGGAGAAGGGAGGTTCCTTTAATAATTTGAATCGTTTGCTTTCATTCTGAGTGCATTTCGGGTCAAAAGATTAATAGAGGTAAAAGAAGTTCGCATTTGGGATTAATAGAGGTAGGGATTAACTTTGAGTCTTCCAACCTTCTCTCTTGGGCCTCCTTGGTAAGGTGTGAGGTGCTTGACTTTCCGTCCTCCTACCTTGAGCTACCTTGAGCAATGGAAGTTAAGAAATGATAGACCACCTATCTGCATTGCTCTTTTGCTCATAAGGAGGTCTTTCGTTCTTGAACAGATGGGGGTTTCTCTGTGTCTCCTAAGTTGATAGATGACTTTATTTTGGAAGGCTTTGGTGGAGCTTCTTTTAAAGGCAAGGTTTCGGTGTTGTGGAATTGCGTGGATAGAGCCTTAATTTGGCTTTTGTGGAAAGAAAGTAATAGTAGGCTTTTTGAAGATAAGTCGTCCTCCTACGATTCTTTTTGTTTGAATTTACAGCATCCAACTTCTTGGTGGGCTACTAACCAAAAATTCTTTTGTAATTACAGTTTACACATGATAGCAAATGATTGGAAGATAGTGATTGACTGATTGTATAGTCCTTAGGGGGGAGGGTGATCTCCACCTTTCTTATCTTAAAAAAAAAAAAAGAGGGGAAGAGAGTGGTTTTTTATGGAAAAGATTCATAAGTATCTATTTGTGGAAAAACTTTCTTCTCAAAAGGAGGGAGACTCACCTTATTCGGGCCATTTTAAGGGGATTCCTACTTGCTTTCTGTTCCTTTTCAAAATCTTGGTATTTGTGAGCAAAAGTGTGGAAAAAATTATGAGGGATTATTTTGGGAAGTTCTTGAGATGTTACGTTGGGGCTGGTTTCAATACTTATTTTTGGGAGGATGATCACTAGGTGGGAGACAAACCCCATTGCCTTTTATTCCTTCATATGTACCATCTTTATAATATGAAGGTTTATTTGGTGGCCTCTGTTTTAGCGTCAAGGGGAGTTTATCTTCCATTTTGCTGGGTCTCAATCACCCTTTGACGGGGAGGGAGACTTTGGAGGTTTATGTCTTGCTTCTGTTGGTCAGGGACACCCATCTCTTTTGAGGGGGAATGATTCCGGGGTTTGGTTCCCTAGCCTTTCTAGGAATTTTTCCTATAGTTCTTTTCTTCATTCAATGAGTGTTCCCTTGATTTCSCCTTTTGCCTCTCTGTTTACCTTGCTTTGGAAGGTTAAAATTCCTTAAAAGATCAATTTTTTTGCTGGGTAGGTTTACCTGCAAGTCTACACCTTGGACCATATTCAAATGCGCTCTTCCTTCCTTTTGGGGCCGTAGTGGTGCGTGCTTTGTAGAAGTACCTCAGAAGATCTTGATTACATTCGTGGAGGTGTCAGATTCCTTGAAATACAGATTTTCCTCCCTTTAGGGATATGGGAAGACTTCAGACTTGTTTCTTTGCTATTTTGTAGGGTATTTGGCTCGAGAGAAATAATAGATCTTTAGGGGTTGAGAGAGGATGTTGATTTACCACCTCGCTGYGGGTTAGTTTCTAAGATTTCCTTTGTAATCATCAGTTATGTATTATTCTTTTTGAATTGAAGTTCCTTTCTGTAGGTGGGCCTCTTTTTGTCAGGGTTGGTTTTTTTAATGCCCTTGTTTATTCTCTCTCCCCAATCAGCAAAAGTGACAGCCAAGCCAAGACAATAATTGGAGCTCCAAAACAAAGCCATAAAAGAATATTGTCCGGCACCCTATCATTATATTGTATAAAATATATATTGCTCCACATTCTGTCAAATTTTCCAATTTCTCTCCAACCATACTTCCCACTAAAGGGTTCTTAGCCGCATGATGAAGCTATAAATTGCTCTGTCCTTGAGTGGTGGCCACAGAAACCAGAACAGGACAATCTTTGACAAGATTGAGCTGCACAAGGAACCAGCCAAATAAATTAAGAAGCTTTCTCCATGGTTCCTAAGTGATAGGACAGGATAAGAAAAATGTGGTAAGTTTACTCTGAATTGCTTTTGCAAAGGAAGCAAGGGCTTGGTCGAAGAGGCAAAGAAGGATATCTTGGTATAGTTTTCTCTTGAGTGTTGACACTTCCAAAAGCTAAGGAACGAATAAAGAATTTAATTATTTAGGGTGTATTTGTGCAAGCTGGGAAGTTCAATGACTTGTTTGGTTTCGTTGCATCAAATTAGAAATCTCTTGATAACATTTTTACAAATTACTCTTCTGTGACCCCATTTATTTGGATACTAATTGGATTTTTTTTTCTTTTTTAAAACTATGGCTTGGATATGGTGAAGCCTTATCTTCCATTCATTTTTCAACTCTCTCCTATTAATTTAGTTTTTCCTTCCTGTAAAAAAAGTAGTAAAAAGTATTTACTGAAGTTCTCCAAAATTAGTAAGAAGTTAAGTTATTATCTCTGTTCATTTTTTAGGTTTTTGGACACGTCTCTTTGGCTTTAATTCTCTGGATTCGTGCCAAATCAGTTGATCTGAAGAGCAAAGCTGCCATAACATCCTTCTACATGTTTATATGGAAGGTATGCCGTAGGAGCTTATGTTTCTAACTAAATTAGGAGTTCATAGTTAGATTATTGCTAATCCRTGATTCTAAGCTGCTCTGTGGGGTTTAATTTTATCATTTATATTGTCTTACCATCCTCATCTACGAACATGAGAACAAGCTTTTATAAATGAGGTCTACGTCTAACATGTGGTCTAGTAACTTTAAAGTCGAGATAGAATGAGTGCTAAAATGAATTTAAGGTCTCTTCGAAGTTCATACTGTTGGACTAAAATTGACTTAATGAATCTTTGATGGCTTTAAATTCACTTTTGACACAAATGAAGGCTTCATTATTAGGAAAAGCTAATTCCTGAAGAATGTGCTCCTTGTATTTTTTTAAATGCTTTTGGTGCTATCTTAGTCATATAATCTTTGGTCAAAGTCATTATGTTCCTTGTGAAGCACGTTCAAAYGTCAATAAAATGACGAGGTGATTTTAATTCTGTGAGAGATTTGCTTAGAATCTACCAACTGTGTAAGAACCCTAGAAACTTTTATGGCAGGTTTGGATGATGTTAGCTTTAACCTAAAAAAACTTCTTACATTTTTCTTTGATACCTGAAAATTTCCTGAATTATTGAACATCCATGTTTGAGATTGGAAACATCGGCTGCATACCATATTTGAATATCAGGGACTCTAATATCCCAGTAGATGACGTTCTGCCCTTTGAACTCATGGCCTTCCCTTAAAATTTACTAGTTAATCTATCCAAATTTCTTGAAAAAATGCATATTGATAAATTGAGTTTGTAAACTGACTAAATATGATAGAATTACATACCTATTCTATCCACTAACATCGTATAAGCACCCACAAAATGGAGGACAAATAAGTAATAGCTCATAATAGTAGGCTCCTAATAAGTAAGGTTCTGTTTAATAATGATTTTACTTTTCTATTTTTATTATGCTCATTAATTTAGAAATTTCTTTGATTAGTTTTCAATTTTCATAAATATTCTTGAAATTTTGGCCAATCTAGAACACTAAAAATAAAACATTGGAAATTATTTTTTTAGTTTTTAATATTTGGTTAGGATTTCAAAAATGTCTGAAATGTAGATTATAAAATGAAGAAAATTGTTAGGGAGGGGATCTCTCATCCCCCTACACTTAAGACTGTTTTTTGTTGCCTAAATACATATGTTCTGTTTCCTATAAAAAAAGTTGAAGAAAATTGTTAGTAAGAAAGTATAACTTTTAAAAACAGAACACTGAAAACAGAACAGAATATTGATTCTAATCACTAATGTTCAACCTGTAACTCTCCCTTAAGCTAGAGTATTTATGTTTAGTTGTGCCTAATTTGTTATGGACTATGGAGGTAGTCAATCCTCACTCCATTTAGATTCTTAAACTTTGAGGAAGTATTCAACAACAATAAGTCTTTTGTACAAAATAGACTACGAAGTTGCATGATTGCCTAGCTAAGTTTTCCATACAAGCTCATGGACCTTGTTTCAACCCATATAAGGACTTGCAAAGACGTTGTGTTGTCCCGACTCCCATTCATCTCCAAACAACAAACTAAGAGGTAGCTTCATAGAAACCTTCTGAAGATCACTATGAAGAATTGTGTTCTTAAATAAACTTAGCAATAGGATGCAAAATATCATAATAGTCAACCCATAAGTTTGAGAATAGCCTTCGGCAACAAGACATATTTAGAATTCAGAAATGATCCATGTGGATAGACTCTAAGCATCCATTTTTTGTACAAGATATGAACTTTTCATCGAAAATATGAAAAGGAACAAAAATTGTTCAAAGATACAAACTCTTGAACGAGCGAGAGAGAAAAACTAAAAGAGACAAAGMTTCCTAAAGAGAGCATTTAAAGCGAACAAACGGGAGCAATAAAGGCCGCCACCCAAAACAACCTAACAAAAAGGATGAAAAACTAGAAATCTAAAAGGGATGCTTTAAACTTCAAAGGGGTGCTTTAAACTTCGCTAGGCAGAAACTATCCACCAATGACTTGCCTTTTCCTTGAGACTACCCAAAAAGAGGACTCCACTTCACTGCAACCCAGAAAAATTTCATCCAACTCCAAACTAAGAGGAATTTCCTGCTTGATACCAACAAGGCATAATCGCAGAACGAAATAAAAACAAAAACAAGAATCAAGAAAAAGTGTTGCCCCCAAACGAGAAAAGAATCAGTGATGAGTCAGACATTACAATATCCCTAAAAGCTTTCTTTAGAGATCAAAATTTTAGGTACCATTATCATCTCTGAGGAATTCATCTCTTATGTCATAGCACTTCACCTTTCGGGATAAGATAAAGCTTGATGAAAGTCTTAGAAATAGGCATGAAATCAGAGATGCAACAAAGGAACAAGAAGGAGCTGACGGGACGAGTGATTAATAGAATAAGTACCATAAAGTTTACCTTTGCGAAGAGATATTGCAAGTTCATCATTTGGTACTAGCTAGACCTAGTGATGAAGAATCTTTTTATTGCACGATATTAATATACATCAAGAGGGTCCTGTCATTTAGAGTAGAAACATGGCGAGAAGAATAAATKGACTCTCCCCTTTACAAGAGTATAGATAAGTAAGCTCTCATCCTTTGTGCGACTTATACATGAAGATGGTGAAGAGAAGAGAGTATTCTTAATAAAAGCTAGATTTTTGACCACTATAAGAAATATATCTCAACTACATTTCTTTAAACCAAACTATTATGATGTGTATTCAGAAAGTATAGGCCATTCGGCATAGTTTGTTATTTACTAATTATGATTTTGATCTACATTTGAGTGGTGAATTTCGATAGGCAAAGTTGAGGTCCCTTGTCTGATAGCCAGCTCTAGTATACTCAATGTCTTGAAAGACCGGTCTCTTCAAGTTTCAATGTCTCTAACATTGAACTGGGTGGAGTGATTGAATGATTGAATAATTGAAAAATGATATTATTCTAAGATCACGCATTGAGTTTCTGGTAGAGCTAGGACAATTAGGTCTACTCGTATTTATCTGTTGTTTCTTATTCTTAATAGTTGAAGTCATTTCTTTCAGTTTTATTTGGTTTTTGTTGCTGTTTCTGTTTTGGATCTCTTTGATATGGGCCTATTTTCCATTATATATCCCTTCATCTGTTATTTGAAAGGAAAAAAAAAAAGCTCTCTTCTGACTGTATAATGTTGTTTCGGTGTGCAGCTCTTTTATGCTGAGTATTTGCTGATACCGTTTGTTAGGTGAGAGAGTATGTTGAAATCGTGTGTTATACAAACTCGTAGTTAAAATTGTATTAGTTTTATGGATAAATATAGCTCTGCCAAATTCCTTTATTTGTCTTGAAATTGTATTCTWTATGAAACTCCATTTCAAGTATACACCAAACAACCATAAATCCTCTGTCAAAAAAAAAAAACATAAATCCAGGTAGATAAATAACAGGCATGAACCAACCACTAAGAATGACAGTTTCTAAGGGTCAGTTCAATATGACTCGAATGGTAAACAGTGTTTTCTTAAAATTAGTGTTTCGTTTTAGAAAGATATCTGTCTAAATTGATTTCTATCACTCAATTTAACGAATTCTGTAGCTATTATGAGCTTAGCTCAATGATAAATGATATATATTCTCCCATGAGCTAAATGATATATATTCTCCCCGAGGTCAAACTTTTATACCTCCAATTTGTATTAAAAAAAAATCTAACGAATTTGTACATAGAGCTTGTATAATTATGCAAATATAAAATGTATCTTTTGGAACAAATCTCAGCCACACATTGAAATAAGCTCGAGGGAAAAAAAAAAACCTATAGGAGGAGCATTCATATGGATAAAAATAGATTTAAATAAAATATTTTATATATTTTCTTCATAACTAATGCACTATAGTTTTGATTTAGACAATTCAAAGTCTGTTATACGTATTTTTATACCTTTCAAAATAGAACGTTTAAAACGCTACAAACAATTGGAGCTAATAGCTATGTCAGCCCATCAAATTTAATTTTAGCAAGGGGTTTAACTTTTAATTTTATTTTGGGAGCAAGCGATGCATGCAAGATCAATAAAAAGAATATTTACTCTATAATAGATGTCCATTTGAATTTCATTAAATTTTCTATTGGTTGTAAATGACATAACCTTGATTAATAGAACTATTAAAATCGCATCACGAGACAAAATTTATGCATTATTGACCTTTTAAAGTTTCGATAGCATTTGAAGTAATTAGGAGAGAATCTTAACATTTTTTTTTTTTGGGTTTGATGAATAAATCTATTTAATTTTTTAACATATTCATTTTCAAAATTTGTTCATGAGCTGATTTTAAATGTGAATTAATGTAACCAACATTAACTTAGCTTCGTGTATAATCAAGTGTCACCTATAAATTTGGAATTCTTTTTCATATAGTATCTTTCTCGCACAAATCAAATCCTATTTCCTCATTTTTGGGATTGATTGGTTCAACCACAATCTTGATTGAGATAATGAAGTCTTATTAATATGCAATTGTGTTATACTAAATAATACTTGTTGATGCCTGTTTTTGGGTGTGGTTTACTTAGGTACAACACAGGCACCACTAACGTCCCCGTCTTCAAAACTGCTTCCTGCACACATAAATCTAATATCGGTATGATAACTAAAATATTTWATTGGTAAATAGTAAATATATTAGTAACAATTTTTAAATTGAGATTCAATTTCTAAATTTGGTATCACATATATATTCGAACCCATCATAAAAATATGGAATACAATTATATTTTTTTATCTTATTTTTTTTTTCAAATTACAGACCAAACGCGTCTTATGTCGCCGTTTTATTTTTATTTCTAGTGGTAGATAAAAAGCTCTCAACTTTTTTTTAGTACAACAATTCGAGGATACGAGGATCAGACTTCCGACTTCGAAGAAAGGAGTAATACAAATTATGATCGAATTATGTTCATGCACCAAAATCTCTCAAGTTATTTAGTATAGTATATATACAAATTACAACGTGTAGATGTTACCTAAGGTAAATTTCTAAGCGATGATATAATGAATGAACTGAGTAATAAAGTCAAATTACTTTATTATAAAAGAATTGACTGAACAGTTAATTTTATTTAATTTAATTTTTCCATTTCCTTTTCCCCCACTCTTTCGAAAAAGTGGGGTAGTCTCGTCTTCTCTGTGGAAAACCCTAAAACCCACTCCCAACTCCCAATTCTTTCTCTTAGAATAATCATTTCCGGCTCGGCGGCGAATTCGTCCTCCTCACATTCTACTGTCTTCGCCTTGCACTCCAAGGAATTTTCGTGCTTTTTAAGCTCTGCCCATTACAGCTTCGACCGTTCATTGTGTGAAAATGGCGGGTTCGATTGAAGGAGCTGCCAAGGCTGTCTCTGATTTAGCGTTGGGTTCCGCTTCTGAAACGCCCGACTCTGCTCCAAATGCTGAAGAAACTATAAGCAAGAAGTAATGGTTTCCTTGTGTTTTTGTTCATTGGTTCGTCTTTAGCTATGTGTTTGGTTTGCTGGGAAGTGAAGGAAAATTATCAATGACAAGTTTTGTAGAATGGATTTTAGTTTTCTTTTTTCTTTTCCCCACTCTTGTATGGGCATGGATGTTCGTCGGTCTAATCTTAATCAGTAGAGTTTTCTCTGAGGTTCAGTTTGATTGTTTCCTTCTCATGCATTAAATTTTATTGGTAGTTGGTTATTTTTTAGTCAAAATGATTTTTTTTTTCCTTTTTTTGAAGTTTTGAGGGTTTAACTTTGAAAATTTTCAGTGCACGCAAGAAGGAATTAAAGATGAAGCAGAAGGAAGAGGAAAGGAGGCGTAGGGAGGAACTGAAGGAGAAAGCGAAACAGGTACTGGCTGTCGCGAATGGAACGACTAAACACATAAGTGTTTGTAGTATCAATTAATTAAGAATAGACCATTGTGAAATGAAAGTGAATTTCCGTGGAGCAGTATCCATACTCGTTTGAGATTGTCAAATACAATAGTTCTGGTTGCCTGTCGGCTCAACGGCCATGTTTACATGAAAAGAAATGAGTGATGAATTCTGGTAGCCAAATAAAATGCTATAATGCTATTTTTAACTACCACTGTAGAAAGGTCTTCGTGACAAAAAARTATTTTTGTTCCAGGAAGCATCTTTGTCGAGCTCCCAGAATAAGAAATCCGCAGCCGTGGATGATGAAGAAATGGATCCCACGGTATGACCATTATGTTTTTCTTTCTGTATTTGGACCGATTCTGTTTCAGATCTTTTAAAACGGTAGCCAAACTGATCCTTTTCCCCCCAATTGGTTTGTGTTTTGCAGCAATATTTTGAAAATAGGCTGAAATATCTTGCATCTTACAAGGCAGATGGTAAAAATCCATATCCTCACAAGTTTCAGGTCTCAATGTCTCTCCCTGAGTATATAGAGAAATATGGAAGTTTAAACAATGGTGATCATCTTGAGGAAGTCTTGGTATCTCTTGCCGGTACTTAGAACCAAAACTTCTACCTTTTCCATAATTATTTTTTTTGATATCCTTATAATTTATTGATCTCTGTGTTTTTTTCTTCTCATTTAAGGGAGGATAATGAGCAAAAGATCATCCTCCTCGAAGTTGTTATTTTATGATCTGCATGGTTGTGGAGCTAAAATCCAAGTTATGACTGATGCACGGTATGGAACAATTTTCTCTCCTTGCTTTAAAATGTTCGTTCTAATTCTGAATATTTGATTATATGGTCCTTGGCACAACTGTACATGAACTCCACTTAGTGGTCCAAGGCTTCATTTTTCTTTATATTAAAAAACTGTCAATGTATTTTCTTAGTTATTGATCGTCTTTCCTAATGAACTTCTTAGTAGCCTTTTCTTTTCCTTAARAAAAAAAACAAACCGTTTGATTACACAAGCTATGTGTCTTTCCCATTTCACTTTCCTTTCTCTTGGAGAATTTCCATTTTCCACTTTCAGGTTTACTGTATCTTCTATTTCAGTTTTTACCTGCACCATTTTGGTTTATTATTTACCTTCTGTTTTCATTTTCCACCCTTCCCCATTAAAACCATAGATAATGGGAACCCCATTATTTTGCACTAATGCTTTAGGGCTCATATAACGTTTTTGTTGGAGGAGAGTCTTAGGTCCAATCTTTTATGAGTGTAATGAAGTGCATGTGCATCAAAGTCGCTGTCATGGCTGATTTTATGTTCTATCCATTTAGACTTACTTGGTTCAATGGTTCCTATTTTGTTCTTCAATTCAGTACAAAGGTTATGATATTTCCATTTTAATGATGCAGTAACTCAGAGCTAGACGAAGCTGAATTTGCAGGGTTTCATGCCAGTGTGAAGCGTGGGGATATTGTTGGTGTCACTGGGTTTCCAGGTTGGGCTGCAAAGATTACCTATTCACTTTTCTTTACTAGTATTTTCCCTTAATTTGCCATAAGTTTAGTTTATGATGTTGGTCTAGATTTGTTAAGATGAATACATGTTTCTTGCATGGGAAAGGAAAGAGGGAGGAACTTGATCTGCAACATAGAGTTTTTGTCCATTTTGGTCTCTCGGTTCTAGTGTAGATAATAAAACTGTAGTCAGCCGCCTCCCCTCTGAGAAATCCAAATAGCAAACCTTTTATAATTCAATGCTCCTGAAAATCCTATGGCCTTTTCTTTCTTGAGCTCTTCATGTCTGTGTTACATGACTTTTACGAATAAAGAAAATCTATTGTCTAGAAATAAGTTTGATAAGTAATATGAACCCTGAGAGGTGGGTTTCTTTTTTTTTTTTTTTTAATTAAAACTTAATACGTTTTATTCTGCAGGAAAAACAAAGAGGGGAGAGCTCAGTATCTTTCCAAAATCATTCATTGTCCTTTCTCACTGTCTACATATGCTGCCAAGGCAGAAGGCAGGTCCTGGTTCTGAGAATGCAAATTTGAAGGTGAGTTAAGACAGTTTCTCTTTCTAGGTTTTTTAGATGAGTTCTCATGACGTTCTCATTTTGGTGCAGAAAAATGACGCATGGGTCCCAGGTTGTACGAGAAATCCTGAAACCTATATTTTAAAAGATCAGGTACATTTTCTACTTGTGGCATTCCCTCCTTAGAAACCTCAATACCCTTAAAAATTCTCCTGTCCCTCTCGAGCTACCCCCAAAACCTTCTACCCCAAGAAAATTTTTAGCCTGTTTGTAGAACATTGAATATTGGGGACTGCATAATTCGGCTCAGCTCTTAAATTTCAGGTTTATGGTCATATTTTCTGAAGGTCTGACCTTGGGATTTAACATGTCTACTTGAATTTGAATCTAGCATTGAGTTTTAAGGTTGCATAAGATTTGTGTCAAGCACATCAATTTTCTTGGAAGTGACTTCAATTCTGGTACATATTTTGTGAACACTAAATGAGTTCTATGTTGTTTAAGATTTGTGTCTAGCRCATAAAGTCATTTAAATTCTGTAATCTTTGGACATCATCATTGGGTTTTTAAGTAAATTGTAAATTAATCATACATTCAGAGGTTCCATCGTATTGCATGTTTTGAACTTGTGTACAGCTTGTGTTTAAGTTAAACATCTTGATCTTCCTGGTTCATGTATTTTCTTTCCAACCATAAAYTAACATCTTAGCTGCCGACTCTGTTCCTGAATTGAATTTTTATCCTTGATTATAAATTTCAAGATTATACTCTTCCAAATATTATGGTATTGACACGTTCAATTTTCTTATTCCAGGAAACTCGTTATCGTCAACGATATCTGGATTTGATGTTAAATTTGGAAGTGAGGCAAATATTCAAAACCAGAGCTAAAGTCATCCAATATGTTAGGAAGTTTCTTGACGATCTTGACTTTTTGGAGGTTTGTKTACTCTTGACAATTGTAAATTAWTGGTTTTGGATGAAATGTACCAGTACTTTTTTCATTATCTTTTTCTTAACGTTTTAACTATTAGGTTGAAACACCAATGATGAACATGATTGCTGGAGGAGCAGCAGCCCGTCCATTCGTGACCTACCATAATGATCTTAACATGAAGTTGTTTATGCGTATTGCACCTGAACTMTATCTTAAGGAGTTAGTTGTTGGTGGATTGGACCGTGTTTATGAGATAGGGAAACAATTTAGAAATGAGGGTATTGATTTGACTCATAATCCTGAGTTCACCACATGCGAGTTCTACATGGCGTTTGCAGACTACAATGATTTGATGGAACTCACTGAGAAAATGCTAAGTGGTAATGATAAAACTTGGGGATGTTAGATGATGCATGTTAACTTCTTTGGTTTCTCTGCCATTGCCTTTCCTAGTTTCTGTATTTATCTTGTATCTATTCTGACATTGTTGAATCTGAAATAGGGATGGTGAAGGAACTCACCGGGGGCTATAAAGTTAAATATCATTCAAATGGGCTTGATAATGATCCGATTGAGATTGACTTCACTCCCCCTTTCAGGTCTGTCAGCAATAATTTTGTTTATAATGTGGATAAACTTGCACCATATTGAACATAATCTTATTTGGGGTTATCTTGAATTTTTTACCGCACTTCAGGAGGATTGACATGATAGAAGAATTAGAGAAGATGGCAAATCTCAATATACCCAAGGACTTGTCAAGTGATGAAGCTAATAAGTATCTTAGAGAGGCATGCCAGAAGTTTGAAATCAAATGCCCTCCACCTGAAACAACTGCTCGCTTGCTGGATAAAGTAATAATCTTGATCGTTTGTTTTTATCTTCTGAAGCTAATTTTGTGTAGATAAGAAACGTTATAACACAAGGAAAAGGGAAATACACAGAAATGGAAGATGAGTAGCTAATCTTATTTCTGGAACATGCATCCAACTATTACATTTTTTAATGACAGTATTTTTAAATTTATTCTTTTGGCAGCTTGTGGGGCACTTCCTAGAGGAAACGTGCGTGAATCCTGCTTTCATCATAAACCATCCTGAGATAATGAGTCCTTTGGCAAAGTGGCATAGATCAAGAC